AGCAAGCCACCAGGTTCAGGACTCAAACCATGGTCAGCCATGTGGGAATCCAACGCCTTTAACCACCACGCCACCTGCTGGCCTCATAGAACAACAGACTTTTATTTCTCACAGTTCTGGAGACTGAAATCAGTCAACCCCTGGATCTTGGGGTTGACTGATTTAGTTCTTGTTGAGTGCCCTCTTTCTGGCTTGTAGACGCCTGTCTTCTTGTTAGGACCTCACAGACCAAAAAGAAAAGATCTGTTTTCCCTTCCTCCTGACTTTATCTAAATCATATCACCCCTAAAGGTCTCACTTCCAAATACCATGACATTGCAAGGGAGGGATTCAGGGCTTTGACATACCAATTTTGAGGAGGACACAAATAATCAGTCTATAACAATATTCTTCATTGTACATTTCTCGTTGCCCTACTGTTCTATTTATTTTTCTTTCCTTCTTACCTGACTTTGAATTTTTTCTTATCCCATTTTCCTTTCTCTACTAGTCTGGAAGTCATATATGCTGATTCTATTCTTTTAAAATTGCACACTTATAAACACTTCAAATTATTAATATTAGGCCATCTCTGTGGCACAGTGATAATGCACTGCTTAGGAGAAGCCACATACCAGGTGGTGACCACAGTTCGAATTACTAGCCCAGTCAGCCCGAATCATGTGAGGCATGTGTGTGAGTGCCGAAGATCCAAGGGCCTATAGTACTGGAGAAAGGGGATTATGATATGACCAAATCATGTGTGTGTGTGGGAGGGTGATTTTTTCTCTCTTTCTCTCACTTTAACTCTTCATGTGCACATACATGTGCTCTATCATGAATAAAAATAACAATAAATGTTTAATATTTACCATTTTCCTACATAATACAAGTAGCCTACGATTCAACTCTTGATTATACTCTATTATTATCATTATTTTCTCTTGTTTTATTTAATTCCACAAGACTTTATTATTGTTTTATGTAGCCAGTGATCATCCTTCCCCTATAGTTCTTCACTCTGCATTTCTTTTTCTTCCTTCCTTTCTTTCTTTATTTAATTTTTAAAAATTTTTGTTAGTGGACATGTATATCTGCCAGAGTGAGGGTGGAGAGAACCCTCCTATGGGGTGTGGTCACACCACTACCCCCCTTCCTCCATTTCTCCATACCCCCAGGATCTAGGGCACTCATGTATATGATTCCAGTGCTTATCAAGCTGTCGAAGTCAGAATTCGAACTGTGGTTGGTCTTGGGGCTCTGGCTCCCAATATACAACACTGATCTGCTGCACCCCAGAGCTGGCCTTCACTCTGTTTTATTTCATAGTAAGTCTTCCATCTGGCTCACATTTTCTTCTCACAGAAATATTTCTCAATATATTTTAGTAGGGGGCTGCTTATGGAAAACTCTTGTTTCTGTTTTTGGGTTTTGCTTGAAAGTATTTTTATTTAGTTCTTTTTCTTGGAACATGTTGTCACTGAGAACAGAATTCTGTGGTGGCCGTTATTTTCTTTCTTTGCTTCTCTCTATAAACTCTGGTCCCTCTTTCTGGAAATTTGATTTAATACATGTTAAAACTTCTCACTTGATCCCAAGTGTATCAATTATTCTTTAATATTTTCTATTTCTTTGTTTCTGTACTGTAGTCTTGAATAATTTATCTTGACTTTACTATTTAGTTTGCCAGTGACAACTGTCTTCAGCTCTGTCTAATCTGATGTCAGACTAACATAAAATTTTTACATTTCATTTATTGCTTTTTTTAAATTTCTAGGTTCAATTTCCTTTACTTTCAAATCTGCTGGGTAATTTTTATGTGTCTTCAAATTTATTTCCAAGTTTGTCATTTATTTCTGAAAAACAGTAAATGTAGCTGTTTTGTAATATAGGACTAATTAACTATCTTAAAATTTTGTGGTTCTATTTTTGTTTGTTGATTATTTTTTTCATGGTATCTTGTTTTTGCAAAATATGATTTATTATTTTTATTGTGAGCTACATATTTTCTTTAGAAAATTATTTTTGCGAATTCTTAGATAAAGGGTGCTTTCCAACAGTGGTCTTTCTATATGTTAGCTTCTAAGAATCACCTACATTTTACATCCACGTTAGATTATTTTACATACACTGCAAATTCAAATGAGGATCTGCCCCCACACCTCATGTTTTTATTTAGTGTCAAGGTAACTTTCTTAAGGTGAGGTAGGTTTAGTTATGAGGGTATAGCCTTTCAGAGTTCCAACTTTGTGGAAGGATTGCCTTGACTCCCCATTTTAGGCAATCTCTAAGCTGTGTCTTCTGTCACTCTGAACTTGCAAAATCAGTAAATGTCTCTGAGACCATTGTAGCTTTAGATTTTTGGCTAGATTTTTGACCTGCTACCTCTCCAGTATGTTGTCAGCTTTTTAGTGCTTTCAAGATGTTCTTTAAACTTTAAAGACCGAATTTTTAGTTGTTTTTACACACACACACAGAGAAGTAGGAGCTAACAGAGTTTTACTTGCAAATTTATCTTTACAGATTTGTACATACTTCGGTCATGGCAGAATGTGGGGCAAATCTTTATCATGAGTGTTAGAGTTCTCTCTGCTAGCCTTTTGTTCCTTCCTCCAAATCTGTGCATAATATAAAAGAAATAAGCCCAAAGTCTTCTTTTGACAGTGACCTCACAATATGTTCAGTATCTCTGTGAAAATTACATTGTATGAAAAAAGAAATTCATGAGCATTTCTGCCTCACATATGCTCCATAGAATTTACAAGTATAAAATACAGTCTATTGTGTTTTTTACTTCATCCAAGGAGATTGGACTCCCTGAGAGTGTAAGATAAGCCTCCAGACACTCCAAGTGATTGTCTTGTGCAAAATATACCCCTGCCACTACCACCTTAGCCCTGGGAAAGAAGAAAAGAACCTTTCTCTCTCCCTCTCTCTCTTTTTCTCCCTCCTTCTTGTGTATTCCTCTGTCTCTCTCTGGTATTAAAGTTTAGGATGAACATGCAGTAGGCTGTGTGTGTTACTGCTGTCTGCTGTTCTAAGGGACTGACCTGATTCATTGGTGAGAGAGCATAGTTTAACATAAAATTTTCTTAATCACTCTGTAAGTAGAGACATCCATATGGCACAGATTTAATATTGTACTCCCTCTGTAATTTTTATTTGTTGGATTATGATACATAATGGGTAGAAAATATGCACTAAAACATGTTTTCTTTCCTACATTTCAGTCTCAGGAATAGGAATTTTTTTATAGCAATTATTGTCTTCCGTCTTCTTGAGTTGTGGCGAAAGTCAGACCCGATAAGCAGTTTAATTTTGTTCTCATCAATAACCTGTGGATGATACAAAGAAACAGAGATATCATCACTAGCTACCAAACTACTTTAGGCACTTGTGATAAATTGACAAATACTTGCCATTTTTTAAGTGACGTTTATTCTTAAGTTAAACAAAAAACCATTTTACTCAACTGTAACCTTAAAGATAATATTTCTTTTGTACAGAAGCTAATTTTTGTGTTTGTATAATAGTAATGTAAAAAACTATCATTTTCTCCAAGTCTTATTCATTTTTTATGCTATTGCCTAACTCTGCAGATGAAAAAGCAAGGTGAAGTCATTTATTTTTATATTTAGGATGAATAAATATGCTGTTCATTTTTCATCTCTGAATGGGAAATTGTTCTTATATTCTTTAGAAGGTGGGGAAAAGAACCTGGATTGATAATGAAATCCATAATCTATGAAACTAGAAGAAAATAAGAAGTTACTCCAATATAATTGGAGTATGTCTTTTTTTAATGCCTCATGTTGCACAAAAAATACAAATATGGCTAGAAAAAAATATTTAAAAATCCAAGCAGATAACCTTCAAACTCAATTCAATTCAGGTTCTTGTTTGCTTCCAGACTCTTTCTAAATCAATATTGATTCAGAATTTTATTTATTCTGCGAAGATGTGTGATTATCCAATAATTCATGGCTGTTCTATAGCACAAATTCACTGCTTTGTCACAGTAGTCAAGAAAAATCATTTTTTCAAAAGTGCATTTCCAATGCCCCCCAAATGTGCATCCTTCAGCACTGCCTATAAAATTAGTCTATTAAGAAGCATCCTGAGTGCTTTATGTATGTTTTCTTTTACCTGCTCAATGAAAGTGAAGGTTGCTTCTTTCAGGTATTAATGTATAAGATTATAACTGAATTATTTATGATTTATGTTCATATAGGGAAAACTATTTTTGATGATAAAAACTATTTAGAAACCATCCTCTGATTAACTAAGCCCCCCCCCCTTTTTTTTTTTGAGAGGTTTTCACTATAGGGTGTGTGCGCTCGCCAGACAGAGAGAGACATAGAGACAGAAAGCGAGAAATCACCCCCCCAGGCGGGGATGGGCACGCCGCAATCCCTTCTCCTCCATTCTCCTCTCGGGATCTTGGGCACGCACGCACATGCGCCGGGCATGAGTTTTAAGCAACCAGGTCCAGGACGTGAACGGTGGTCGACTACATGGGAATCCAGCGACATAGCCGTTACGCTAACTGCTGGTTCCCTAACTAAGCCCTTTTTAAAACAGGAAATTTGACAGTCCTGATGTAATATATAGCGATTTACTCTCCCATATGTCTAGCAAGTTTCTCAGATTGGGAGAAAACAATTATAGAGTCATGATAGTCTTGTATTGTTTGGTTTGAAATCAGTACTGTGGGAGTCTTATTTGCATTTCTAGTGATATTGCCATGTCCAATGTGTGGTTATGTTTCTGCCTAAGATGAGTTTCTGGAAGGTATCGTTTTTTACATGAGGCATTATCTTCATTTGGTGATGAGGTATAACACCATGCCCTTTATTTCACCCCCACCAAATACATTCCTCTGTAATATGTCTGGAATTGCCTCATCCTCTCTCAAGGATACAGCCTTACTTGGGCACCTACCATCTTATGTCTGAAATATGACAGCAATCTCCTTGTTGGTTCATCTGCTTTAACGTCCCCATTTCCTTTGCATCTTACAGATATCCAAACACATGACAAAGAAGACTTCAGGGTTTTGTAAGTCCTACTGCAACTCCTGATAATGTGCTTAACTCCTCTAACTGCTGTTATGTCTCCTCCCTGCAGGCATAGGACTTTCTAACAGCTGAATATATGCTATTGTCTAGTTTTCACATGACACATTCTTCCTCTAAGCAAGCCTAAAATTCCTCTTTTCCAAAAAGTACTTCATAAGTATTATACCAAGCTTACTTATTGAATCCTTTCTAGTGTGAATTTAATCAAAGCTGGGTCTCATTGATTCTGTACTGATCTATTTGGGGTATTAAGGTAATTTACATATATTTTACTATTTTCCATGTTAGATGGTTTTCCTTGAAGGTAGAAATTGTTCCCTGCTTTTTGCTC